GGGGGGGGGGATGGGAACGAGTCTGTCTGTCTGTCTGTCTGTCCATCTGCGCTACACATGCGTGTGGGTCGCCCTCTATCATCACGGGCCGGGCACATACCGACAGACAGCAGAGGCAGACCAGCGAACCAAAGAGCAAATAGTCACAACAGTCGAGAGCGGCCAGCCATACCGTCGTGTGTATGCATGGTATGACCCGACCCGACTCATACATACAGTCCGCGTCTGTATGTATGAGATGTTCATCAGCCGACCGTCCAGTCCACTGCTCGCCCAGCCCACACTGAGGCAGGCAGGCAGGCAGGCAGGGAGACGGGGCGAGTTCGATTGGTCTTGCTTGCGTCACTTCAGTGCTCCCGACGTCCAGCACCACCACCGCGACGGTCTGCCAGGCGTGAACACACAAATGAACACCATAGTAAGGTATGGTCACCCCTGCACGTGTCGACCATACCTGAGTCCACCGCGCCCTTGACATTGGCGAATCTCGGCATTTTCCAGTCACTCGACTGGCCCGCGATCCTCTCGGCGGCCTCACGAAAGGCCTTGCCTATGGCATCCTGTTCACGGAGCCGCCGGATGTTGTCTCTCGTGTGATCCCTGGACTTGACGCCTCGTGCACCACTGTGGGGGGCAGGCTGCAGGAGAGAGGCCATAGCGCGGTACTGGGACGCTGGGGTGGCTCTGGGCGGCAACCTGGTGGCGGCATAAACAACCACACACACAAAGATGTCATCAATCCTCGTGTGTTGACTTGATATCAAAATGCTTTTCGCTTCGCTTACCCATTGCTGTTACGATATGTGCCCTGCTGGCCGGCTCTTGTCTGATTCCACAGATGCGACGCAGTCCCAACCGTTACTGCACAGAGAAAGAACCAAGACCAGTCGAAGGAAGAATGACAGAGGTGAACATCCGCCGCTCTCCACCCACCCGTCCTCCCTCGCACCTTCTGTGTTGACGCCAGCTTCCCGCCCACGTGTGGCCCCCATCGGCACCTTGCCATCCCTCACTGGCATGGCTATCATGTCCACCAGTGGACCGTCCTGCGGCTTCATTGTGGTCGCATTGGAATCAACGGCCTGCTCGATCTCGGCGCCGGAATGCACGCGCGTGCATATGTGCGGCTGGGCAGTGGACTTCTGGTCCTTGTCGGGCCGCCGGTCTTCGTATACAGACGGGCGGCTGACACGACACAGGCAGGACAGGGCATGGGGAGCCAAAAAGGAAAGGGTGAAACCAGCCCAGCCAGGATGATGCATACTGACTGCACCTTCTGCCCACCTGTGGAATCGGTCTCGCGCGCGCGTCTCGGGCTTTTTCTGCCCCTCCCTCTCCCTCCTCTCGCAGACCGTGCGCCCACCATTGCCGCTCTGACATCCAATGAGTGAGGCCATCTGCCGACCGCAGAGGCTCCGATCTCGCTCCCGTCGGGCATGTGAGGGGTCCACCAGACACACCCCCTCATGCCCGACACCAAGTCGCCCCGCCTCATCCGACAACCGGTGCACCAAACGCTGCTTGGCCGTTGCCGGCTTGGTCGCTCCCCCAGGCCCGGCCGCTCTCTTCACCGCCCTGGACGACACGAGTTTGCTGCCGGCGGCCCTCTGCTGGCCCGATGAGCCGCCACCACCACCACGAGGCGCATCATTGTCGCGCATGAGTGCCTTCATCTGACAGCCCGCCAGCTGCCGGCCCCTCTCATGCCGGGCGTGGTGCGGATCGACCGGCGGCACAAAGGACGGCGGGGCCCTCTCGCCGGTCGGCTGCTGGTCGTAGGCCGCCGTGCGATTGCTAGTGGTGCTGCGGTGGGGCTGGTGGGCGTGGGGGTGTTGCTTCTTGTCCTGTGTGTCTTGGGCGGGTCTGAGGACGGCGTCGGCGGCGGCCCCCGACCACTCGTACTGGGCCCGCGAGACCCAATGGCCGTCCGGCACCTGGTAAAGCAGCTCGCTCTTCGACGGCAATGAGCGCTCCACAGCAGACTGACTTTCCCTGACACCGACGACAAGGGATACGTCGCATCAAGGCTTGTGTGGGGTCTGGCAATTCTCGTCCTTCCCTACTGTCTCACCTGGTGCCTCTCTCGTGTGCATCAGGGGGTCTCGGGCTCTCTATCTCGCCGACACGCTCAGCGGTCCCCTGCTGGCCACGACTGCCGCTGCCTGCGGCCGCCCCGTCAGCTACCGCGACCCACTGGCCGTCGTGTGTCTCATGGAGGAAGTGAGTGACAGACGGCAACGAACGCTCCACAATGGACTGACCACTGCGCTCCACAATGGACTGACCACTGCTACAGCAGCACAGAGATAACCATAAGAGACCCAAAGTGCATGGATTCCCTACCCTTCTGTCAACTCACCTGGCAGGACTCTCGGCCGCATCCAGTGGCCTCGGTCTCTCCATCACACCAACACCGACACGCTCAGCCCCAGTGTCGTCGCCCCCTAGAGCCGCCTGGTGCTCGTGGGCCATGGCGGCGATATCACGCTGCAGCCGGCTGATGGCAGCGGCCGTCTCATCGAAGGTATCAGGGGCTTCGAGAGGGGCGCCTGGCTGCTCTCCGTTGGTCGCCTCAACAGACTGCATGCGCTTGGGCGGCGCGGCTGATCGCCTGATGTGTCCGTGCCGCTGACGATGCGGCCGCTCCTTCCGGCTCCCATCGCCGTCAGGTGCAGGGGCCTTCTCGGCTGATGGCGATGGATCCTTTGGGGTGCGGGGCGGCCCAGTGGACTGCTGGCGCTTGGGCAGCGAGGCTGACTCGCCAGACGGACCCTCAATAAGTCCACAGTGTGCAGAAGCAGCGCCTTCCTGCCGTCCGATGCTGTGAGTTCTGTCGGGTGCCGATGTGGCTGATGCCGACGGGTGCTCAGCGGCCGCAGCAGTGGCAGTCGTCGGCTCGCCAGTGCGATGGTCCTGAGGCTGAGGCTCCTCGGCGACAGTGGTGTTCTTCTGCATGGCCAAATCGATTCGCCGCTCCATCGCCTTTATCTGAGCCATCGTTCCGTAGAACCACTCATCGCTTTGGCTGACGGCGGGATTCTGCAGTTGCATGCAGTCCACGCTCGCCTTGCCGCTGCCGATGTCATCTGAGCGAACTGTTTTATTCTTCCGCGACATTCCTCTGGCCTCACTCGTCGCGCCTGACGTCCCCTTTATCATATCGGTTTCCTCTTTTTTTCTCTCCCCTGCGAGCTTTTTGCTGTAGCTCGCAATTGGTGGAGGAAAAGCCTCATCGCTTCCAGTGCGTGGCAAGGCCACCGTTGGCTATGGACCAAAGTAAAACTGCCAAAAGGCCGCAAAGAAAGACACTCGAGACACCTTCCAGCCACTCCAGGGGATTCTTCCGTGAGCCGAACCAACACAGGAAACAGCCGCAGATCCTCACTGTGAACTCCTGTGTGTGTGTGTCTTTGCACTTGCCATGATGTGCAGGTCCGCAGATCTTTTGGGGAGTGAGCTTCGGCCACCGGTACTTCTTCAAGGGCCCCGTCTGGTGGTGGTGCTCCATCATCTGGTGGCCGCTGGCTATCACCACCCCTACGTTGTGGATCTGGCGAGAACTTGAGCGCGCCGCAGACTCCGCCCCGCCGTCCCACGACCACCTGCCTGACGACTGGTCAACACCGCCTCCGCCCAAGCAGAAGCCGACGACAGCTGTCACAGTGACGACAGCTACGCAGCAGAGCTGAGCTGAGTGAGCCGTAACCAAGCGACGATCCGATGGCGATGAAGGGTCGAGACGAGGCCGAGCGGTTCCGCGTGTTGGGCAACGAGGCGTACAAGGACGGGAGGCTGGAGGATGCCATCAACTTCTACACGCGGGCCATCACTCTCGACGCCGATGATGTGCGGCCGTGGACCAACAGGGCGCTCTGCTGGCTGCAGAAGGGGGACTGGGAACAGGTGAGTGGAGTGAGGACGGGAGGGAGGGAGGGATACATACTGGGGGCGGGGCGGCCGTGGTGTGAACGGGTGTATGTATCCTTCCATTCTTGTATGTGTAGGTGATAGCTGACAGCCGTCAGGCGTTGAATGCTGACGAGGAGTCGGTCAAGGGGCACTACTTGCTGGGCAGGGGACTCGTTGAGATGGGTAGGCCACACGCACACTCACATGACATACATGTACCGAGCACTGCACCGCTGCGGTGGCTGAATCCTCACTCATCCTTCCCTCTATCAGGTGACGACGAAGAGGGCCTGCGCAAGTTGGTCAAGGCCAAGACGCTGTCGTCGTGCAAGAAGGAGAGGCCATACGAAATGGAAATACACAAGTGAGTGAGAAAGGGAAACAAACAGGCAGTCAGCACAGGCATCGCATCGCATCGAGTGCGTGCGTGTGTGTGTGTGTGTGTGTGTGTGAAGGGCGCTGTATCGCGCCAAGAAGCACATCTGGCTGAGGGAGGACAAGGAGCGCGAGAAGAACACCGCCGAGGCCAGGCAGTCGATATTTGTGAGTGGAAGGAACGAAGGAGCACACCCACCCCAGCCAAACATCACATCGGCCGGTCTCAGCCATGTCGTCTCTGTGCTTGCGGGGGACGTATGTGATGTGCAGGCGATGATATCGCGGCTGGAGGAGCTCAGCCAAGTGAGCAAAGAAGAAGCTGACCACAGAAGGAAACAGGTGAATGACTGACTGACACAAACGTTTAAGGCACGAGAGACGGGCAGGCACAGGCAGGCCGGCGGGCAGACAGCCAGGGGTCGATACGCATCCCATCATGACATGTGTTTGTCTGTCTGTCCGTCTGTGTGCTGTGCTGTGCTGTGCTGTGTGTGTCAGATGGACTCGCTGTTCAATTGGGTGGAGGAGAAGAGAAAGAGGGCCGACATTCCCGACTACCTCCACTGCAGGATCACCATGGTACCAACGTACCCACACCCCACACCGGTCGGTCGATATGTGATCTGTGTTCCTTCGTGTGTGTAATGTGTGGTTGGTCCCCAGGACTTCATGGAGGACCCAGTGGTGACGAAGCAGGGCATTACATACGAGAGGGAGCAGCTCCTCGCCCACTTCAGACAGAACGGAGACTACGACCCATACACACGGTAGGTACCGTCAGGGTCACAGCACACCACACGGAGGGGAGGGGAGAGCTGACCTCCGTGCGGTGCGTGGATCGTGTGCTTCTCATACATACGGTACGGTGCGTGCAGGGAGAGGACCAATGCCAAGGATCTGGTGCCGAATCTGGCCGTCAAAAGGGCGACGGAACACTTCCTGGACAAGTAGGCTAGGCCGAGCCAATCGCACTGTGGCACGCCCGAACGTCATCAATCACTGCACCCACCGTGTATGTGTGTTTTGCGTGTCGTGGCTGCAGCAACCCCTGGGCGTTTGATTGCTGATTGGGGGGATTGTCTGTCCGGGTGTCTGTCTGTCCGGGTCTGACTGACTCGTTGGAGCGCGTGTGCGTTTTTTGAGGTTCTGCTTTGGTTGCCTGCGTTGCGCCTCGCCTTCAAGAGTTGTTTGCGTGTATGGACGGCTCATGTACAGTGCAGTGGAGTGCCGACGGCACTGATGTCCATGCAACGAACGACTGACTCATCGCACTAGCAGGCATCCTGCCGATATCCAGACACAGCAAACCCACACGCAGATCTCTGCGAGCTAGAATCTCATTTCGAGAGAGAAGCACATGAGTAATGCGCGTCCGACCAAACGCCCGTGCTTGTTGCTTGCCGCCTATAACGGCGCCGGCGAAGCAATTGAGCCGCACACGTCGGCGGCCGCTCAGAGGGGCTGCACGTACCTCGCCCTGCTGCTCGGTAAGTAACAGACAGACGCAGCCAGCACAGCTCGGTGGGGTGGGTGAACTGCTTTGTCTGTGCCGTGTGTGTCTGTCTGTGCAGGTTTCATTAGCGTGTTGTCGGCCTGCTTCATGTCGGTGTGTGGAGTGTTTTTGCGAACCGATAATGATGGGTATCCCTTTTTGTGGGCATTCCAATGGGTCGGCAGGGACGTCGTCCGTCACTGCTTCTACTTTCTGATCTTCTCGCTGCCAAGTGAGTCAGTCAATGCATTGGGAGGCGTGTTTGTAATGCATGTGTGCCTGCCTGCCTGCCTGCCTTTGAGTTGCAGGTGTGCCATCGCCGGACATCGCCTGGGTGGTGCAGCGCCAAAGGCACGGACTGCTTATCGTCGGCTGCCTGGCCGCCTTCAAGACCACCATCGGCCTCGTGGCCTTCAACGAGTGCATCTTCGAGATCCCCAGCAGCCCCAGAGCTGACGCCGCCACGGCCACATTCCACCGCATCATCACCATCTTCTTTCTCATATGGGAGTGCGCCGAGTACGTCTTCATCTTGCCGTGCCTCCTGGTGCCGCCCCCGCGACCCTTCTTCTACACCGCCGTGCTGCTCAGCCACCTAGTGACGGCTGTGGTGACGCTGTCTGCTGAGTTTGGCGACGAAAAAGCCTGGGTGGAGCCGATGTGGCCATTCCTGCTTTTGGTGACTCCCGTCATGTGCTGGATCGACAACCCGCAGAGGGCGGACCGCGGCTACAGGATCGCTTTGGTGCACATGCTTATTCAGGGGGTCTTGATTCTGCCGATAGCAGCTCGCGTCTCGATGCGGCTGCTGTCTGGGGAGGGCTGGGTGTTTGTGGGAGGGGTGTGCTACGTGTGGGTACAGTGGTCGGTGGTGACTTGCCTGGCCAAGAGGTTTCTTCAAGTGCTGACCATCCGCGCCATGGGGCATCATATGATCTGCACTGCGCTGGTGAGTCAGTGAGTGGGGGAGGGCGAACGGAGGGACGTGGTCAGGCACCCCAGATGGGGCATGGCATGAATGTGTCTGTCCGTCCCTCTGTTTGCCTCTCTCTCTCTGTGACAGTTTACTTTCATGGTCAGCTTGGTCGGACGTTAAGGCATCCCATCCACGAAGGCGTGTACGGTGCGTCATCCAATGTGTTGGTTGCATTTAATTTGCTTCTTCAGGTGTACGATGACGTCTTTGCGGCGTTGCTATTCACTCTTGTCCCCGTCGACGCCCCATCGCTGCTCGTCCTGCTTCTCGCATTCGGATGCCGTATCATCATCCGCGACGCATGCTTGCCGTCAGATATAGGAAGGTAACCAACATGAGGGCAGGACAACTAATGTGAGTCAGCCCAGCCCCACACCCACTGTCTTGATTCCTCTCTCTGTGTGTCTCTGTGTGTGTGTATCTGTTTTGGCTTTAGGTTGTTGTTCGATCGCCTTTCCCGCAATGTCTCGAGCGCCGAGGCTTGGAAGGAGATCTTTGACGAGCAGGAATTGTACAGTAGACACTGCTTCGTCACTGAAACGTAAGGACAGGCGGAGACAGCGATTGCATTGCATTGCCCTCGTCCGTCGCCATCCAATCTCATGTGTGCGCCGGTCTGGTCTCAATTCGTGCGTGCAGGATAGCTGTAACTGCCGTTGGCACGCTTCTGACGGTCGAGGCCATCCTCGTCGATCAGCTCGGTGTCGGCTCCCTCACTCTCACCCGCGATAAGACGCCATCCGACCGCACAGCCCTAATCTTTGTCAGCATCGCTTCACTACTTGTCGTCGTGTGCGCCCGCACCCTCGTCGCGCGAATCTACGCAGCCAAAAGGCGCCGCCTCGCAGCTGTCAAAACGCCGCCTTCACCGTCACAAACCAACAGAGTCATGGAGAGTGGCAATTCCACCGAGCGAGAGAGCGATTTGGCGGAAAGGGAGGAGGACGGTGTTCAGGATATGATCATCGACATGAAGAAGACGTCGAGTCTCGATATCGGCTTCATGCAATACGCCCCGCCAGAACGAGATCCACGCCGACAGTGGTCCCAGTCGCCCGTCGAATCGCCGCTGTTGCCCAGCTCGTGCGCACTGACTCGGTCTGCTGATGGTGGCTCAGACAGCGATAACGACCTATCTGTCGCGAGCAGCAGACGTGGAGTGCCTTCTACCGTCGTCAAGCGGGCGTCTTCTCGCTTCAGCACCACGATCCCTCACCGCCGGTCATCCGACAACGTCTCCTCCGTCCCCACACGGAGGGCGTCTGACGCGTCGACTTCTGGCTTGACCTTGATCCCTCATCGTCGCAGTTCGGAGACCTTCTCGGTGATTCCGTCTGTGCCGTCGACTTGTCTGCGCTGTCACGGCGACCACATGCTGGACCATCCGTTCTTCTTCCCGACAATCGAGGAGATCGAGGGCATCGACCCCATGCTGCTCGCCTGCCACGAGTCGGGCCCTCTCAAATCCGTCGACGACATCTGCGATGATGAGAGTGAGTCTTCCTTCGATGATCAGCCGAGCGTCTCGCCCGAGGCTCAGTCCCCCGCCCCCAGCGAGGCCTCTCTGCCCTTCCCCTTCTCGCCACCGGAGCCTGTGAGGGTGTCGTCCTTCACGGCCCGGACGCGAGGGACGATCGCGAGCTTGCGGGATGCGGTGCAAGAGGCCGACAGGGGCTGGGAAGGAGGCAAGCGGCGCTTTCGCCCCGACTCACGCAGCAAGCCCTTCCCGCCGCAGCCGAGGCTTGACGAGACCATCTACATGCAGCGCCGCTTCTCTCTCGAGGCCTTCGCACCGCAGCGGGAGATACTCCGGTGGCGGAGGACCATGTCTGCTCCTTCCTTTCTGAGCTCTCAGGCCGACCTGCAGACCCTCGACCAGCCAAACGCCGACAATCCCCTCTCTTCGGCATCTTCATCCTTTTCGTCACCATCCTCTTCTTCCGATGACGGCTGTGAAGGCGTGCGCTTCTCAGTTCCTTGCAGTCGCCTGCAGAAGGGCCTCTCAGAGCTTCGCGCTAGTGTGGACAGGCGAAACGGCCGCGCCAAGCGATGCGGGACGGCAGGCCTGCGCGTGGTGACGGAGCAACCCCGGCACTTCCGCGGCAGCGTGTCCGAGCCGGCGCCCTCTCCGAGCTCCGTGTCTCTTGCGGCGATCGATGTGGACACCAAGCGGTCTGAGGCCGAGTTTTCAATCCCCATCCAGTTGACATCCTCGCCGCGCTTCCGTCTGAGTGAGGGTGACGACGATGGCCACGCCACAACTTCCCAGGACTCATCTGCTGCTCCGGATCGGTCGCTCTCGTCATGGCTCAGCTGGTGCTGGTTGGTCTTCCTGGACACTGTGTTGGTGAAGAAGGAGGACCTTGAAAGCGGTGGGAAGCGTCAGCGGCTGATGTTTCTATTGTGTGCCACGGTGTTCGGTGTTCAAGCAGCGCTGTGGGTGCTGACGGTGCAGCGCTTTGCGGAGGAGATGCAAATGGAGGATAATAGTGGGTTGTCATTGAGCCGCCTTGATAGGTCAGCATAGGGGATTATGTCGTTTGTGCGTGTATGTGTATGTGTATGGTGTGGCAGCCAGTCATGTGTTTAATGCACACAAGGCCTGGCCTGGCTCTGGGTGTGGGTTGGGCTGTTTTGCTGTGTCCATAGTGTCCATGCTGCCTTGGTGTTGATGGGCCATGACCGTGCGTGTGGGGGGTGTTTTTTCCCCGAGGAGTATCCAACATCTGGACTGACTGCATCAGTGTGTCAGTCAATCTTGCATGAATCATATGAGGCAGTTCAAGTACGTCACGCTTGAACGCACCACTAGATGTCGGACGGATGCGATCAGTGCACTCACGCAACAGATATACACACATACTGACCCTATACACACATACACCAAGGAAAGATGGACAAAGAGCGAATCGATCTCAGCAGAGGCACTGTGTCGCCCTCACACCCACACGCAGACACACAGCCGACGTGCCCTTCCCTCCCCTCCACCGCCCACGACACACGCCGCCGCACGTCCACCAATGACCGCACCGCATTGCTTCTCCCACATCGCTGACTCAGCCACTGCCAGCCGACGTGCCGGTCGACGCCTGACAGCCAACCAGGAGTACCACAGGCAACCACAATGGCGTTTACGTGTACCCAACTTCTCTCTGTCTGTCTGACCTGCTGCAGTGTGTAGACCTCCATGTCCACACACGTGAAGGTGTCAGCAGCAGCCAAGGTGGCCCATCCGTCGGTGTCGTAGCTGCCCAGGTACGTCTTGCCGGCGGGCAGCTCGTCCCTCTTCACCCACTGGTGGCAGCTGCGCAGGTCGCCGGCCGGACGAGCGTCCTCCTTCTCCCCACTCCCCAGCCACAGGCGGCCGCCACCGATGGCCACATTGCCGCCATAGCCCTTGGTGCCCTTGACCGCCCCCTGTGGGCCGGCGACGTCCACATACTGCTGGCCGTCCGGCACTGCGATGTGTGTGATGCCGTCGGCCTCGCTGAAGGCGCCACACACCGAGTAAAAGGCCACGGGGCACTTGGTCTTCTCCACGGCCGCGGCGTCAGTTGGCTGCTTGAGCTGTCCGTTGATGTGGGCGGCGATGACGTGGTCGCCGGTGTCCTTGGTGACCAGCAGCAGATTGGTGGCGGTGCCCACCTTGGCCAGCATGGTGGGGTACTTCCAGCCGTCACGCGGACCCCTGACAGACACACACACACACACACACACACAGAGAGAGAGAGAGAGCGACTCAGTGACATCACGACTGTTTCTCTCAGTGGGCTGGTCACTCACTTGTACAGCAGCTTCGGCGTCGCATTGGCATTGCCCGTCATGTTGATGAGCTCCTGCAGCTGAGCAGCAGACAAGATGGGGTCGGCCGGACGAGTCGTCGACACCTGCACACAGACAGACAGACAGACAACGGTCCATCATAGACACACCAACTCAGCCCCCCTCCGTCGAGGTCTGACTGACCTCATACACCTCCAGCCGCTGGGCAGTGAAGAGATGGCTGCCCGCCAGAGTGGCCCATCCGTTGGTGCTGTAGCTGCCTTGGTATGTCTTGCCGGCGGGCAGCTCGTCCCTCTTTACCCACTGGTCGCAGCTGCGCAGATCCCCGGCCGGACGACCATTCCCTCCCTGGCCCAGCCACAGGCGGCCGCCACCAATGGCCACATTGCCGCCAACACCGTTGGTGCCCTCGACCGCCCCCTGTGTGCCGGCGACATCCACACGCTGCCAGTCGTGCGGCATTGTGATGTTGACGATGCCCTCTTCGTCTTTGAACGCCCCACTGATGGAGTAGAAGGTGACGGGGCGGCCGGTGGTTGCTTCTGCTGTGGGGTCGGATGGCGCGATGAGGGGCCCGTCGATGAGGCAGGCGAAGATGTGGCGGCGAAGCTCGCTCTCATCACACGTGTTCGATGACTGACAGAGTGCTGGCGGCACGCCCCAAACCCGAGAGAGAAAGCCCATCAGCAAAGCGCGCAATGCTGGCAACAGAGGGGCTGCTCGGGAGAAAAGTCGCGTCCATGACGGAGAGGCGGGCCCACACTCGGGTTCGATGACGAACAGCAGGCCCCCTTCTCCGCCCGCCACTCGGTCGAGCAGAGCCTCGTGCGACCAGCCATGCTGAGAACTCCTGACGCACCCACACAGATAAACAGATCCTATCTGTTGCGTGTCCTCATTCTCTCTGCTGTGTGTGCTCACCTGAAGAGGCAGCGTATGCGGCTGTGCGATTTGCCGATCATGGTCAGGTACACACACTCCATCAGGTCGTACATCTCAAAGGCACTCAGCAACTGCGGCCAGTCGTCGGCGATGGGGAGGGGCGTGACGGCGTCGGGGGCCAGGCGACGGCGGCGGACGAAATCCACGACCCTGTGAGAACCAAACCAGGCCAGGCCACCCACAGATGCCCTCTGTCTGCCTGTGATGTGTCGCCTTACTTCTCGAAGGTGGCCGTCGGCACACTGGCATCGGTGACGGGTGCCGCAAACCTACACACGCACACACACACACACACACACACACACAAGTCCATACTGCGCCGTTTCCCACGCCCCTTATTCGCCTCAGCTGACTTGGTGAATCGTCTGCCGAAGGTGTCAAGTCCCGCCAGAGTGGCGTCCGTCGTGGAAATGGTCGTGCCATGGACAACGGCACTCAGCACCTCATAGCCGCCCGTCCCTCTGGCCGCCGATGACTTGATGAAGCCACCCATCACCGCCATGAAGCCCTGGAAGGCCTCACTGCCCTGGTCGTTCTGTGGTGTGATGCTGAGTGTCGTCTTGGCGAAGCACAGGTCGTGGTAGAAGGCCTTGACGGGGCAGTCGTCGAAGAGCGTGATGTCATCGATCCAGCCCGCCTTGAGAAAACCCAACTTGACATCCAACCTGACACACACAGATGGAGAGAGTCAGACACGCGGCCAGCGGATGAATGTCAATCAAACAACATGGGTTTTGCTTCCCGCCCACCAGATGAAGTAGTGCGGGTCTGCGTCGATGAAGGGGATGCCGTCGGTGTCCTTGAGCAGCGACTCATCAAAGCGGTGAAGCAGCACAGCCAGGCGTGTGTCCTTGAGGCCATCTCGCAGCAGCACCTGACGAGGGAAGTCCATGGTGAAGCCGCCGACGTTGATCCGCCAGGGCTTGTCTGCTTGGGTGCTGCTGCCGTCTGCCGCGGGCATGATGTAGGTCAGCCAGAAGGAGAAGCGCTCCCGCACCTTGCCCACATCGGTAAACACCGCTCTGCCAACACGGAGAGGGAGATACGGAGGGCGATGCGGTATACCATCCTGTGTGTCTGTCTGTGTGTGTGTGAGTTGGGCCGCGTCTGTGCGTACTTACTTGTCATGCCAAAACTGTTCCGTAAGGACAAACTGGGTGGTGAGCACCGTGTAGACCAACTGAGCACACACACGACAACAACACACAACGTGTTACACAGCGGCCACCACATCCACTCCACCGCTTCTTACCTCGTTGACGTAGTCCCCCCGGTGCTTATTGCCGTTACGCAGGATCTCAACCCACTTGTCCAGCTACACTCACCAACATGCAACACACCACAATACAGTACATATGGATAGATAAGGAAGGTACACACAGCTGGCCATACCTTGGCTAAGATGGTGTTGACATTGTGCTCCTCGAAGGCGTCGGGGTAGTTCAGGTGGGCATCCCGCAACTGCACAGGGGCCACATCAGCCAACGCCCCTACACACACACACACACACACACACGGGGGAAAGGAGTGCGTGTGCGCGAGTGTGTGTGTGTGTCTGGATGTCTGGATGGATGGATGGATCAGCCAGTTCCCGACCGAGTGCGTGTGCGGCGGCGAGCAGTGCTCGGAGGTCGGTCTCGGGCTGCTGCTGTACATCTGTGGGATCCATGGGCTCCTCCCTCTCCCCCTCGTCGAACATCTGCGGCAGGCCAAGGCCGTCCGGGAACCCACCATCATCAAAGAAGAAACCGCCGTACACACTACACACACACGAACCGACCGAGCCAATGGGCACAAAGGAAGTGAGGCCACAAGTAAGTGTGTGTCTGTGTGTGTGCTCTGTCTGTGCTCAGTTTGTCCTCACCGCTTGGCTTGGGGGCCCTCGTCGCCCTCCTCCTCCCCCTGGTCGACGTCTCTGTATCTCTTGCGCCCCTTGTCTACGTCGTCCATCTGCTCGTCACCGTCGCCCTCCTCACCCTCGGCTGCGTCATGCTCCGCCTCCTCGCCGTTGGCCTCACCATCGCCTTGGCCGTCTTCGCCATCATCGCTCAGGTGCGTGAGGGCCAGCTTGATGCTCAGCAGCAACCTCTCGCCAGGACCCTACACACACACACACACACAGAGACGCACAATTGGTGTCGGTCGTTGACCTCTTTCTCCATCCATCCATCCATCCATCTCACGTCGGGTGCGAAGATAGCGTCAGCGGTGTGTTTGCCGCCGGCCTTGAGTGCCAGTGCCATGGCGTGGAGGGACGCTGCCTTGAGAGGGTGGTGGACGGCACACTCGCTTGTGGCGTCAAACAGGCTGAAGCTCGACTCCTGCAGACCTGCCCGCAGCTCGTCGCTGAGCGTGGCGGCCTCCTCACTGTCCTCGCCCTCCGGACCGCCGAGACGCATCGGACCGAACATCTGCAGGTCAGAGACACAGCGGAAATGGCCGACCGTCAGAGCCACATGTATGTGATGTGGCTGGCTGGGTGACCTGCATGAACTCCTCGCACGCCTTGGCGGTCTGTGCGACCTTGTCGCCGGCTGCCTGCTGCACCTCCGACAGATCCTCAACATCCTCCTCACCGATCTCGAGGGCAAGCTTGGCCTGCTCCACACAGCTGAGCAGAGCAGCAACCAACACGCACACACACACACACACACAGAGAGAGAGAGACACACACACACACACAGACACACAGACATGAAGGTGCGCACACGCGATCTCTTTGCCGTTTGTTTGTGTCTCTTTCCCAGGTCCCGCGCCTCACTTCGTCCAGCATTGGCAGATGACCTGGCCGCTCTCCCGCAAGAACGCAACCACAGCAGGCTGCTCCAGGGGCGGCGTCAGCTGGCTGGGGCTGCCACCACCACCGGCAGCGGCAGCAGCAGCAGGTAGCTCTGCAACCGCTGCTGCTGCCCCCGGCAAACCAGCAGCAGCAGCAGCAGCAGCGGCAGGAGGAGGACACGCCCCGTCGCTGGGGTGTCCGCTGCTGGCCTGCCCACTGCTGTTGTGTCCGTCGTCTTGCTCCGCCTGCCTTTGATGCAGGGCCAGCTCGCGGCCACGTCGGTGGATGCCGCGGACCAGATATCGCCACGAACGGTACACGGGGCCATCCTGCACACAGACAGACAGACAGACACATGGGTGAGAAGAGCGGGTGGATGGCTGGGAGGGGTGGTGGCAGCGTACGATGTTATCTTGTTTGAGTGCGGCGCATAGGTCTTTGGTGAGTGTGGAGTCGGCTATCCAGGCCAAGTGGCACTTGCACAGGAAAACTCGCCACAACACATCCCACAGCTGCACAAACACAAACCAGACAAACACAGAGAGAGAGGGAGAGAGGGGGAGAGAGGTGAGGGCCGGTGTGGGGTGGGTGAAGGGTTGGTGGCTGGGCTGTGGGTTATGCTGGACGCTCACTTGACTCACGTACGTGTAGCAATATGTGTGTCTGTTCGGGGCAGTGGCCGTCTCGTGCGAGGTGTGGCACCAGCACTGCCACCACCTGATGCAGACTCTTGAGCGCATGGTCGTTGGGCACCTGACCCATCGCATGATGTGATGAGTGAGTGGATTGGGCTGTGGTGTGTCCGTCGCCCGCCGCTCTGCTAACTCACTCACCTTCTTGCCGCCTCCGACGAGTTCGTCAACCATGGCCCGCAGCAGACGCCAAATCTCAATCTGCACCCACCCACCCACCCATACCATCAGAAAGAGGAGATAATTGCCCATTCGTTGCAGCCAGGCAGACACCTGCTGACCGACCGGCGTGACAACGGGGTGCTGATCCTCCACCGCTGGCCAGTGCTGCCAGCCCACACACACACACAGAGAAAGAGGGAGAGAGAGAGAGAGAGAGCGGTCACATGACAACCTTCGCACAGTTATTTCTTGTGTAAAGGTACATGTGGTGTGGTGTGGTATGATGTGTGTGTGAGCGTACGTCGCGACAGGCCGCCTGGTCGTTGCTGTCGAAGTATTCGGCGCTAGTGAGATATGCAGACGCCATCTGCACACACAGACACACAGACAGCAATGAGAATGAGTATTCCCTCGGTCATCCAGCCCCCCTTGTTGGTTTGGTCGAATAGCTGGCTGACCTCTATGTGTATGGCCTTGACGGCTGAGGGATCCTCACTGCCGAGTTGTTGAGCCACCAGGGGCCCCACGATGTGGAACACAGCAGCCGCTGCGCACACAAAACACAAGACAAAACAAGACATGGGCGTCAGCAAATCTGTCAACAAACTTGTTGTTGTCTAACCTTCGAGTTCTCTGAGGGCATGGAGGGCGATGAGCGACAAGAGGGTCATCTCGGGCGCGCCAGGCTCCTGCACACACACAGCAAGTGTGTGTTACCCACTATGCACCCCACCCACCCTGGTGTGCACGGGTGCGAGGTGCAATGCATAGCTCACCTCTTTCGCTACGGTGGCATCACAGGCGTCAGCGGCCAGGTCCATCATCTGCCCCACCGCACCACGGGCAAGCGCCGCGTTCTGACGCTCAAGCAGAGAGACAAAAGGAGAGGGATCACACGCACACGGACGGCGGATGGTGCCGTGTGTCGCTCAGCTCACCTGATGGTCGCGGTGCCACTCCCCATTGTGAACAGAGAGGTTCAGGGCGGCCGGCACGCAGGCCTCGAGGACCTCCCGACGCAACGCTGGGCAAACCAAGCGCAGGCGGGCATGGTGCGTGTGAGTGTCACCCACACACACCCGGCCGGCCCTTCACCTTCCGGGCGCCCCTCGTCGTTGATGAGCGGGGTCAGGTGTTCGAAGGCCATCTCCAACATACGACCTGCAGAAAGGATGTGCAGACAAGGGAGAGAGGGAGGGAGGGAAGCAATGCATTCACTTATACGAAGGAGAGAGGACAGACAGTCCACCGTGCCATGCCCGATCTGACCCACCTCTGAGTCGTGTGTCAGGGTCCTCCTGGTCGTCATCGTCGTCCATCAAGCCACCCAGGGGGCCCGACACATGGCCGCACGACGACACACACACACCCAACTCCTACACACGCGCACATGCATCATGGTTTTTGGCAGGGTTGGGGAGAGGCAGGGGCTCTGTGTGTGTGTGTGTGTGTGGCTGTGGGGGTGTGTACTTTTGCGATAGCCCTCTGACGCATCCTGGTTTGCTCTGACACGTCGCCATCCGACTCGACCGACTCGACAACCCCCTCACGCACGCGACGCAACACGATCTCAAACAGGGTGGCCGCCACTGCACACACACACACACACACACACGCCGACCAACCGCACATGTGCGGCATCCAAGCAATGCGACTCGCTTGTCGTCCGTCCGTGTGTGCGTACGTGCAGGTGGCCCCGTTTTGAGCAGCTCCTCCAGCAGCACAGCTCGTGGGCGGCACTGGGGAACGAACGAACCAGAGAGAGAGAGAGGAGAGGAGGAGCGACACATAGACACACAGCAGCAACACCGTCTGCCAGTTAACATATTGCTCCTGCTTCATTCCCTCGCTCACATCGAGCAACGCATCCGTCCCCTCGACAATCGGTAGATCGGTGTCGCCGAGGTCTCGATAGAGCTCTGCGGTGCGGTCGAGCGCCTCCTCGCCGTCATCCTCATCCTCCTGGTCACCGAAGTGCTTGGCCTGCAGGTGGCGACAGAGGGCCGTGGTGGCCTCGATCCACTGGCCGTAGTCGCCCTGTGGATCGGGGTTAGGGTTAGTCTTGACCCTCTCGTAGACGCTCTGCCACACAGAGATCTCGAAATCGATGTAGGTGGTGAGAACGCGTTGCACCAGTGCCACGTGGTCCTGCAGTGTAGTGCAACACCAGTCATGCACAGGCCAATTGACATGATGGTCCCCGTGCCTGACTCACTGACCTTATTGGTGTTGATGTGTCTGAGTGTGCGGTCGTCGAGCTCTTTGTACATGCCCACCACCAGCTGCGACGCCAGGCTGCTCTCGCCACCATCCACACAACGACCTGTCAGTACAACAGCCAAGCAGACAGGGCGTCGAGCAAGCGATCCCGAAGCTGTGGTGGATCCACCTCCAGAACCCCATACGCCTCACCCACACGAAACTCGCTCTCGCTGCACAAATGAATGACATGCACACATGTCTTCCTTTGTGCGGTGAGTGAGTGACGGTGCAGCCAGGCCTTGTCCCGCCGTACTTGGCCGCAGCTCTGAGCAGTCCGCGGATGAGCCCCAAACACCCACATCGCGCCTGCAGTACACACCACGGCTGGCTACCCGACGGTGCAGTGCTTCCCCTCCCACTAAGGTGTACTTTGTTTGAGTTGGCAGCGTTGTCCTGGATGCGCCGGAGCGCCTGTCGACCGATTCGTAGGGCGGAGTGCACGGCCTCCACGCCAACTGATGGATTGATGGATGGATGGATGGATCAGACACATCACACCGCACAAGAACCCACATACTCTGACGTGATGACTGACACGTGTGTGTGTGTGTGCGTGTGTGTCTGTGGTTATGGGGTCATTCGTACGTTGGTATTTGTATGCCATCGACAGGGTGGCCTCTGCGAGCAGCCCGCTGGTATCGACATAGCTGTCGCCCTTGAGCACACCCAACGCCTGCTGGTAGACCTCCAACGCCTCCTCGGCTGAAGGGAGGAAGCAAGCAGCACATGGACAACGATACTAATGGTTGGTGAATGCCTGCCTACCTAAGAGTTCGCCCAACTGCACTGTAGACGTGATCTCCTCAGCCGCAACGCGCTGGTCCCAATGCCGCCTGCGGCCTAATGACTTAGGGCCGACGGCGCCGTTAACCGGAAGCCGTCGGCGTAGGACATAGATACATCTCGACGTGACAAAAAAAAAACTCACTGAGTAGTTCCTAAACCCTAGGCTCATAACCTCAAACCCTAACCCTAAGCCTTTCGTGATCGACAAAGGCCACGGGTGCGAGCTGAGCTTACGATTGGAACGAATGTTCTGAGTCGTTGTTCCTTGGGAGATTAGAGGAGAATGTGGAGTGCGACCCATACGGCATGCACTCGGCGCTCAGAGGAGTGATCGTCTGAGCCTCTCGTGCTCCCTCAGCGGTTTCAGAATGTCTGGCGCTGGCTCACCGCCGACAGACAACAGTTTCCCATCGACTGGTACAGAAGCACCGCACACAACCGACAATCAGTCATTGTGCTTGACTCGCTCTCGCTCACTGAGGTTTCCTGTGGGCCGTGTTGGCATTCAGTTGGTGTGCTGGGCTGTGCCCCGACGTGCCGACGACGACGCGGATCAGCATGACGTCACCGCCGAGCCAGCCAA